GAGTGAATGAGCATGTATTATGTTTTAATATGAGTGAATCTGTGTGTGTCTGTGTATCATATTTGTGTATGTATGTGTATGTGTGTGTGATATGTGTGTATGAGATGTGTGCATGTATGTGTATGTGTGTGTGATATGTGTGTATGAGATGTGTGCATGTGCATAATATTGTTTATGTTATATATGTGATATGTGTTTGTGATATAGGAATGTCTTTGTGTGTGTGTGTGTATTTGTGTATGCCTGTGTGTTTGTGTGCACTTGTTTGTGTATTGATGTATTTGTGTGTGCATGTGCAGGCATGCATTTGCTTAAGTGTTTGTTTTTGTCTTTAGATTTGTGTATGCATGTACGTGCCCCATATATCCAGTATCAATTATACTTTTCTGCTTTAAATAAAAGGGCCATAACCTGAGATCATCACAAAATAGAATATAACAAATTCAATTGTTCTTATAATTAGCACCACTTAGCACTCCCATCTATAAAATATGCAGGATATGAAGTGCTTTCTCTAAGAATACAATGCACAACATTCCTGTCAGTTTAAACATTTGCATAAATTTTGTATAAAAAAGGTCTATAAGCTCTTGCCTAAATTTATACTGCACCAGATACAGAATACATTCAGTACTGTTGAACGAATACTGCATTTAATCTGTTCGCATCCTGTAACTCCTTCACTCAAAAGATATTACAGAAACATTTTGACATTTTGACAGGATGTTGGCAATATAATGTTAGATACAATAAATATTAAACATCTTGGTACTTGTACATTGGTAATGTTAATTTGTCTCATTTTGTTTTTAGCCTATAGAAAAAAAAAAAAAAAAAATCTATAAAACTTATTGAGTATAATTTGGACTAGGGAAAGGCTACCACTATTAGGTTTTCTACTTTGTTCTACTGCTGAATGCACTATTTGTAATAAAACAAGGAAATATATAAAATCTAAACACATGTATCTAATCTATAATATCCCCAACATAACTTTTTTTCACTGTTGTTTTCCAACAAGTAGCTGCACAAAACACAAAATTACAGTAGTGAATATCATACACATCTGCTTACAACACAATTCAAAGTACAGACTTTAACACCTTACAGAGTTATATTGGATGTTGGTCCAATCAGAGATAGAACATTATATATTTTCAGTTAGTGAAAAACATAAAAGCTTGTGTATTGTCTTCAAAGAACAATAAAGATAAAGACTTTAAAGTTCTGCCAACATTTTCTTTCATATAATATTTTCTTGGAAACAAATGAAAGTAAATATGCATTGAAAAAAATGTAAGATGCGAGTTTTTAAAATCAATATACTATTATTCTTTTTTATCTATCTTTCTCTAATAAAATATTTCAAAACTAAAGGCTTCCCCAAAATCACGTTAAATGATTATTCCAAATCTATAACTAAAATGTATCCACTTGCATGCATTTACTAGTAATTCTTTGCCATCACCATCTTTTCACTCATACATGTGGAAATGCACATACATGCACATGCACAAGCTTTGACAGACAGGTGTCTTCATATTCAAACTGTGTATAGTGTATCAACCAATGTTCTTGTTAAGCAACCATCATACAAACCTTTTCATGGATAATTCTTTTTCTACCTATCACCTTTTGAAATATCATGGGTGTGATAAGGAAACCCAACAAGCTAATACTTCCTTGTGACTCAATAATAAATTCAATTGCTAAACACTATCTATACAATCATGCCAGTTCATGTATTGCAAATCAATCAAATTCAACATTTTCAAAGCCAAATGCACAGGAAAACCTTTATTTGTGTGTTTATCTATCAGTTTATCTGCCCACAAATATTCTGTTTTTGTAATGAATGAAAACTCTTATGAATGAAGTTACTACAGCAATGACTTATAAATTCCTCTTCACTGCTGGATACTAAACATGAAGAAATATTTTCCTGTAGCCTTTTAAATTCCTGTAAAACAATTTAAAAGGATTTAAAGTATATCCCACTAAGCTACCTGAGAAACCATAAAAAATATTACCAATATGTACTTCCTTTATGTTTAAGTTCCAGGTATGTCCTAGCAACTGCAACCATTTTCTTTACATACATGTTTTCAGTAAGAAATCAATTGTGGGCCTAGCTCTTCTGGACAGTGACACTGAGTAAGTCAATAATGTGAACATGTCTATGAACACAGACACATTTAAGTCTGTAATCTGATAGAAGTTCACAAAAGTAATATACCTATCAATATAATCTGTGTATATATGAGAAATACTTTCCACCTATATAGATAGTCAGTATACAAATAGAGCCTTAAAAAATCATTACCTGATAAAGAATGGGAAATCTAGACTGTACATTACTCATTTCAAAAGACCTACAAAACATGTCAAAATTCTAAATAAAATAGACTAGTAAGGCTGGGGGGTCACTGTCTACATGTAATATAATTTCCATGAACAACCAAAAATGACAAGAAGATTCAATTCATTGAAGAAATAACTAAATGACGAAGCAAAAGAGAGTTGCACAGCATTAACCAAGGAAACATCTTGCTTGTAAACTTGGAATGTGTATTGCAAACCAACTGGGAAACTATAAATGTATAATGTACAAGTATATGTATACACACAAACAACATACATCTTTAAGATAAAAAAAAAAAAAAAAACAATTCAACACCTTAAAAAACAGCCTGAGGGAAGTGCACTGCTTCCCAGAAGGTAAAGTGGAAAGACTGTAGCAGATCAGGCCAGAGCACCATTCACGTTACTGCCATCCACATCTGGAAAGGGAAGTAAAACCATATTTCTTATCTATATGAATCAATAAAGAAATCATAATAACCACAACTCTGGCCTAAGCTATGGCTAAACTGAATAAGTCACCGTTTGTCTTATCATACAGTAAATTCACTTTGTACTTGAGATAAAACTGTAGACCAAGCTAATATCTATGACCGTTAGAAACTGTTTTACAAAACTGTTATTGATATAATGAATTGTAATGAGCTGCTTATCAAATAATACCAATACTTCTCTTTTCTTTTTACATATATTTTCATGTAAAAAATTGGCATTTCTCCAGTATGATTGAAAAGGTATACCTAAGTTCATATATTCATAGCATTACATAGCAAAATGGTATGTGCTACCTTACTACACCTAAGCATATAATTATCTTGCAGGGTATGGGTGAATTTCTTTTTTTTCTTTTTTTTATGAAATCAGCCAGATAAAGCATTAACAGCTCAAATCTGCTGTAAAACAAAGCATTTTATGTTATTTCCTATGAATTATCTGCCTGTGTTGAGTAAATCATTTTTACAATATCCTATTTCATTCCTAATGAATTACCTTCATTATCTTCAGCAATGTTTTCATTATCACTCAGAGTGAATGTGAAATTGGTAATCTTCAATAAAGACAATTATCTACAGCTTACTAGGCCTACTAAGAATAAGTGTTATTGACTGCTTGTGTTGTATGTTGCTTGGACATAAATAGAAATGCAACTATCATTCCTTTTATGTAACAGTCTTGCAAAATAATACTACATTCAAGGATAATACATTCTTCAGGGATTATATGAGACTGCAATAACATATAGTAGGAGAAAGGTTTAAGTGTTGGCAGTTGTTGTACTTGGAGTGATACTTTAAGTATTACAACTCATAAGACAAGAATTAAAACAATCAGAAACCAATTAATATTTCTCCTGAACTGGGATGCTTGTTTAGTGACTGATGCACATTGGGTGAAACAGCTGTATTTCAGATGGGTGAAGGTAATAAAACCGGAGTTACAAAAAACAAATCCCAACAGTCTCTAGGCTTCACACTACTTAATACCTTCTTTACCTAATCCTCTTTACTCCTTTCTATGACAATAGGCAAAATGCATTTCCAGTAAGATGAAACAACTGTTTTGAAAGCCTCAAAATTTCATCTTCTGGTTTGGAAATGAAACAGGGTCTTCAAGTGAGTTTTCTTCTCTTTAAAATTAAACCTATTTTGTGGTTTGATTGTTTGTCACTGGATTTTTCTAACTGTTTTATGGCACCACATAAGGATTGATCTATGAACTATATATATTACACCTATTAGTTGTACACTATTCATAAAATGGTTCCTTTACTATCACAAATTGTCAAGTTAACAAAAAACAAACATATCAACCAACTCTGACAAGATCAAATCAGCATATCAAGTTGTATCTTCATTATAGAAAAATGAGCAAGTCATATTATACAGATAAATAAACAAAGACCAGATTTTTCTGTACACTTTATTAATAAAGGTTATCTAAACATTATCTCCCATCCTCGAAAATCTGAGATGTATAGTATTACTAAAACAAACAAACAAACAAATGGGTTACTCAAGGTCACTACTACACCCAATACAATTACTCTTAATGAATCTACAACCATCTAAAACAAACATAAGAACAATGATGTTCATTCACCCTAGCTTCAGCTGTAAAGTACCCTTCTGTAAGTGACGTATAAAATTATATATATGGACCATAACTTTGCTTTCTAAACACTTCATTATCTTTGCTAAAGAAATGATTAATGGTTTATTCTATTATCTTGGGCTCTAAATATGAACTCTATAGTCTTTCCCCTACAGTTTACCAGTAATTCCACAGACAATCTGTATAATGCTGATACTAATGAATTTGGTCTTAATGAAATGCTTCTGTTATCTACTGATTAGATATACCAGTATTAGTTTTAGTCAACCAAGCAAATTTGTTGATGTTTGATGCCATGCAACTTTAATTACTGCCATTAGTTATAGCAAATTTTGTTTTTGCAGACTATTGGCAGGTTCACCCAAATTATGCAAGGCCTGACCCAATGAATGTTCATTACTTAAATATGCATATACAATGTAATAAATGGATATCTATCAGTCTAGACATGCATATCTACCACCACACACACACCCACACACACACACACACACACACACACACATATATAATCATAAATATATATGTATATGTATATATATATATATATATATATATATATATATATATATATATATGATAAAAAGACAGATATGCAATTATCTTTGTGTATATGCATATCCATATATGGTTAATGGTTGAAACAAGTAAATGTGCAAGACATCTAACATCGTATAGCAGCACTATGGTAAAGTATTGTGGTGAAATGGGTAAATGAGTTAATTATTAGTATAAGGAGTGTTAATGTCAAAGGTTATAGAAAAAAAGGATCTCTTGTGACGATGAGAAGAGGGAATAGATGTTCGAGGAGCAGAGGAAAAGGAAGGTGCAGGAGAGGGTGTGGAAGGCAAAGATGGAGTTGAACATTTAGGTTGTTTGGTGCAAAGCATAAAGTAAGGGGGAGGTAGACAAAAGTGGTAGAGAATTGGAATATCTGGACTTAGAATGGAAAAGGGATTTGATTAGGGGATAGGAAGAGTAGAGGTAGGATAGTTCAGGGTAGAGGGATGAGATACTTGGGGATATGCAGAAACATCTTGTAAGGATGGAGTGGGGTGCAGAGCAAAGGACTGCATTGGAATAGGTAGAGAGGAAAAACCTCATTGTCGTACTTCCTGCCTAGCCTCATGTAAAGTGAGGCCTAGTTTGAATCTGAGAGCTTATAGGCAGGGCAGTTCCTATAAAATATGCTATGGGACTGACCACAGTTGGCAGATGTATATGACTGAGCAGGGCAATTTGAATGGTCATGACCAGGTTGGGCACACTGAGGGCAGCATTTGGCTGGGTGGCCAAAATGCCATTTTTCACACTGTCAGGGAAAGGGTTAATATGGTGCACATTTGCTAAGGAAAACTCCACTGTAAGCGTGATCTTGACAATAAGTAGCACACTTTCCAGTCTTGCCAAGTTGTCATGTCAGTATGAAAGCTTCCATACAAAATAATAATTTACATAACAGAGATACATATATAACAGAAGGATTACTGTTTATAACAGGACATCAAATAATGCAGTAGCCTTCATACTTCGCTTTAGGAAAGGCTTGCAAACCTCTCCAATACACATTTATTCAGCAAAGCTGAGTTGGTGCTGATTCTTTATCTTCTGGTAAATTGTTTGGGATGTCAGCAAGTTATCAAATCCTAAATATACATGGTTTGATTGCCTCTGCCAGATAGTAATGCACAGAGGCCATGAAATCATTGGACTTGGCTGCATTATCATATCATAGATTCATAAGCCTTACTTCTTTGTAGTCTAATATTTATATCTAATAAAGTTCTTTTACATATTTTTATGGTAATTTCCTCCGTATTTGTGCAACCCTTCTCCAAAAATTTACTTAACAAACAATATCAATCATAATAAATAAGATATAAATTATCACACATATATATCACATTATCTATGTCAAATCCTCAAGGAGCAATTAGTACACGAATGCCTCACAAACTGGCCAGCGTAAAGAAGCCACAGCCTCACTTCACCTTCACTTGTCCTTAGACACAGTTTCAGTATTACTAGTCCTCACACACACCCTTTTCACCATCACGTGTCCTCACACACGCACGGTATAACCATCACCATCACTTAACCATAACCTGTCCTCACACACTAGTATGATAATGATAATTATAACCACTACCATCATATGTCCTCACGCACAACTCATCACCACCACCACCTGTCACCTGTTCACCATCACAACTCCTTCACCATCACCTGTCCTCACACCCACGTTGTATGATAAGAGCCACCCACCTCACGTCAGGTAAAGAGGTTGGTCTGGGAGCCGATAACACGGGAGTCGAAGGGAACACGCACCACAAACTATCGTACGGAACATTGATTGATTATTGCTATTTACTGATTATCTTTCTCTGGAAAGGGATCGTGCATGTGGCAATTTCGACATAGTGATCGACGTATGCAATATATCTGATTCGTGTCTTTGGGAAATAGGGAATAAATGTAAGGTAAAATGTTCAAGTCTCGTGCTGTGAGTTTATGGTCATCGTGCATCTGACATGTTCCTAATGTAAACAAACTGAGATGTGTTCAGTATCGTCTATAAACTTTAAAAGATACGTAATATGTAGAAACCAATGGAATCACACATTTTCTGTGTTAAAAGTCAGTTTGACTTGTTTGATATGTTTTTCGGTAGATAAGTATCAGGTGGCCAATATTGTCAATATCGGCATGTCTTTTCATTACACATAAATTGCGTTACTTTTATTAAAGGTGAAGTAGGTACTACATCAAGCTTGTGGCCATGAAGAGATGAAAAGTCTCTCTCTCTCTCTCTTTCTCTCTCTCTCTCTCTCTCTCTCTCTCTCTCTTCTCTCTCTTCTCTTCTCCTTCTCTCTCCTCTCTCTCTCTCTCTCTCTCTCTCTCTTCTTCCCTCCTCTCTCTCTCTTTCCCTCTCTCTCTCTCTCTCCCTCTTTCTCCTCTTTTCTCTCTCTCCTCTTTCTCTCTTTTCTCTCTCTCCTCTCTCTCTCTCCTCTCTTCTCTCTCTTCTCTCTCTCCTCTTCTGCTTCTCCTCCTTCCTCTCTCTCCCTTCCTCTTCTCTCTCTCTCTCCTCTCTTCTCTCCTCTCTTTCTCTCTCTCTTTCTCTCTCCCTTTCTTCTCTCTCTCCCTCCTCTCTCTCTCTTTCTCTCTCCTCTCTCTCCCTTTCTCTCTCTCTCTCCTCTTTCTTCTCTCTCGCTTCTCCTCTTTCCTCTCTCCTCTTTCTCTCTCCTCTTTCCTCTTTCTCTCTCTCTTCTCTCCCTCTCTCTCTCCTCTCTCTCTCTCTCTTCTCCTTCTCTCTCCTCTCTCCTCTCTCTTCTCTTCTCTCTGTCTGGTCTGTCTGTCTGTCTGTGTCCTGTCTCTTCTCTCTCTCTCCTCTCTCTCTTCTCTCTCTCTCTC